AGTGGTGGTAGTAGTGGGATAGTAGTGGTGGTGTAGTGGTGGTGTGTGGTTTGTAGTTGGTGGTAGTGGTGTGGAGTTAGTGAGGTGGTTTGGTAGTGGTGATTGGTAGTAGTGGTGGGTTGTGGTGGTGGTAGTAGTGGTGGTAGTAGATGTGGTAGTAGTAGTTGTTGTAGTGGTGGTAAGTTGTGGTTGGTGGTAGTAGTGGTGATTGTAGGGTGGTAGTAGTGGTGTGCAGTGGTGGTATTAGTGGTGGTAGTAGTGGTGGTGTAGTGGTGGTAGTAGTGGTGTTGTGGTGGTGTGTGGCGGTAGCTAGTGGTGTTTAGTAGTGGTAATAGTAGGGGGGGTGTATCGGGTGGTAGTAGTGATGGTAGTAGTTGGGGGTGGTTAGTAGTGGGGGTTATTTGTTGGGTGTAGTATTTGGTGGTGTGGTGGGTACAGTGGTGGTATTTGTGGTTGGTAGCAATGGTGGTAGTGGGGTACGTGATGGGTTGGTGGTATATTGGTGTGGTAGTGTGGTGGTAGTGGTTTGGTGGTAGTAGTTGGTTGGTGAGTAGTGGGATAGAAGTGTGGTTAGTAGTGGTGGTAGGAGTGGTGGTATTGGTTGGTAGTAGTGGTGGGTAGAGTGGTGGTAGTATGTGGTGGTTAGTAGGGGATTGGGTGGTGTAGTATGGTGGTAGGCAGTGGTGGTAGTCTGGTGGTAGTTGTGGTGGTAGTGGTTAGTGGTGGTAGCATGGTGTTTGGGTTTGTTTGGGGAGTAGATGGTGGTTTGTGGGTGGTGGTTCGAGTGGTGGTAGTGGGAGTGGTAGTAGTGGTGGGGAGAGTGGTGGGAAGTGTTTGGGGGTAGTAGTGGTGGTAGTGTGGTGGTAGTAGTGTGGTGTATTGGTGTGGTTGGGAGTGGTGGGGAGAGTGGTGGTAGTAGTGGTGGTTAGCAGTGGTGGTTGTAGTGGTGGTAGTTGTGGTGGTAGTAGTGGTGATGTGGGACGTGGTGGTAGGTGGATATTTGTGGTGGTAGTAGTGGGTGGTAGCAGGGTGGTAGTAGTGGTGGTAGTAGTTGGTGGTAGTGTGGTGGTGAGTGAGTTTGGGAGTGTGGTGGTAGAGTGGGTAGTAGGGGGGTAGTAGTGTTAAAAA